TAAGGTGTGCGCAGGCGCAAGGGTCTGTGCCTCCGGGCTGTGGGCGGCGGTGCTGGAGCTTGCAGAAGCTGATGTCTTGTGCAACCCGCCGTCTAGAGTCCCCAAGTCTGGGGAAATATGTGTGGTTCGGGCAGGCAAGCGTGGGACTGCGGTTGTTTGAAATCTCTCAGAGGGTGGAGTTGACTGCGCAAGGCACACGACAAAGGCCTGGCGATCTAAACCGCTTAAAAAACAAAACAAAACAAAGCCGCTCTCATGTCCGGATGCTTCCTGTTAGCGACTTTGTTGGTTCTTTGTTGCTCTTCTTTCCAGGGTTCGCGCCAACCCTTTTCGTTAGTTTATATGTAACCCGTAGAATTCTAATTCGGATGAGGACGAAGGTGCTACGTCAATCAAAAGAAAAAAAATAATGGGGGGGGGAGATTTGTTTGGAAATAAATGCTTGCTGGTAAATAGTCCTATGATAAAATAACATAGTGGGTAATTTTTTGTGTACCACGAAATGATCCTGAACACATTTAACATAGTTAAGTGCATGTATGGTAACTCCTTCTGGTAAAAACTTGGCGGGTGGCGGGGGTAGAGCTGAGGTTTGGGACGCTCAGTGGTAGAGCATGTCCCCCGAACTTGAAAGGTATTTCCCCTTTCTTTTAAGAATGTGAAGTCTTACTAGACCCCAATAGATGTGAGACTGACATCGTACATCTTGTATGAGCTATCAAACATCAAAATAAATTTAATATACCTCATCAAATAGGAGCTACTGAATACCAAAATACATTTAAATCTAAGAATTAGATATTTTAAGAGCTTATAGCATAGCTATACATTGTCAGGCATTTCTCTGAAGACACACACACACACACACACACACACACAGGAATATGCTGTGACAGACCAACTCATCTCCCAAGCCTGACTTACTCCCACATTATCCTCCAACTCTGAGGGCCTCAGGTACCCTCACAGATGTCTGCTGGATTGGTCAAACCAGTTTCTCCTGAGAACCATGTATATAAAGGAGCTCCAGGTCTTTAATTAGACTGCACTTTTCAGCAGAGGCCTGCTTCTGTCCTGACGGAGCAACTGAGCCCACGATTTCAAAACTCACTTGCTGTGTGGTGTGCCTCATCTGCTACATGCGTTCCCTGTGAGATTCTTTCATGTTATTCTGCCTCTTGAAGCAGAGGGAGCAAAAGGCCAAAAGTTTCCTTTGTGTGGCAATAAACTGTGGGATTCATGAAATCATATTTTGTTCATCTCTTTATTTCCACCAAGCAAACCCCCAAGGAGCTGAAACATGAGGTTTGGAGCTTTGATTTCTGATTGACTCATTTCTCTTCCTTCTTTGTACGAGGATCTGTAATTACAGGAAATCTGGTTGTTGTTGTTGCTCAGACCATGTGTGTTATGTCAGACTTTCAACCTTGCCTGCTCCTCTTTTGTCTTTTGGGTTGCATCTGTGGTCTGAAACACAGCCGGAGTTCCAGCTAGGAGTAGCAACTTTGAAGCTGACTGTCTTCTCCCACTCTCGTTACTAAAGTCACTTACTTATTTTATGTATGTGAGTGCTTTGCCTGCATGTCTGTGCACTGATGCCCTTGGCTATCCCTGAAACTGGAGTTACAGACGGTTGAAGCCAACTTGTGGGTACTTGGAATGGAACCTAGGTTCTCTGGAAGAAAAGCCAGTGCTCTTAACCGCTGAGCCCCCTCACCTGTCCCAGTAAAGTAATTTTTAAAGGCTGATAGGATTTAAATATTAGGGTCTTTCCTTTGTTTTAGACCCAGAATATGGTTGTATGTTGCAGCCTGAGGAACAAACACTGGAACCCCTGGCATTATGTTCCCGCCATGCAAATACTTGAAGTTCCCAGAACACATCACTGTGGTTTCATGCTGTCTGATACATTATTTCCTTCTTCCTTCTGCCTCTTGTTCTGGCACACACTACACCGGTCTTAAAATTTTAACCCCTCCGCTGTTTCCTCTGTAAAACCTGTCTTGGCTGACTATAGGATAGCAGAAGCACTCCTGTTTCCCATGTTCCTTGAGCACAATATGTACACACATTATTTTCATGCTACTGATACTGGTTTCCAGATAGGGTTTCGGGCCCTCACAAGGGTCAGGATTACTTGGTTGTTCTTTTCCCACACCTACCTCAACTAGCATTATGGTGAGCTTCTTATATGAGTGAAGCTCTGTTCTACAGTAAAGAAAACAAACACTTTCTCAAAAAAATTCAAATTGGCTAATGGGGCAAGCCAATTGCTGTTCAACTCTTGGGCCCAGCATAACTTCTGGGTTTTCACTTTTCTTTCTTTCTTTTTTATTTTTTTTTCTGTTTCCAAGACAAAGTTTCTCTCTGTAGTCCTGGCTGTCCTGGAACTCACTTTGTAAACCAGGCTGGCCTCGAACTCCCAGAAGTCCACCTGCCTCTTGGGATTAAAGCCAAGTGCCACCACAAGCCTCTGCTGGTTTTCCCTGCTGTTCCCTGGCTCAAACTTCTGAGAACTCCTTGTACTGACTGCCAAATACGCTCCAACTCCCCTTCCCCAGAAGAGCTAACAGGACTTATCATCGACACTAATTTTCTAAGGGAAAGAATAGAGATATCATGACTTTTTTTTTTTTTGATCATTTTAGCATGGAAAATTTCAAATAGTTCTCAGAGTAGAGAAACTAGCAGAATTCAAGAGTGACCAGCACATGGCTATCAATTTTAGGTTGACACATAGCTATGGTCTTTCTCGTCTGTTGCATTACTTTAAAGTACATTCCAAACATCATATCGTTTTTTTGTAATGCTTTTAATATATACTCATAATCATTACTTTGTGTTGTTGATTGGTTTTAGAATCACCATGGAAACACACCCCTGGGTATGTCTAAGATATGTTTCCAGAAAAGTTTAATTGAAGAAGTGGTTTAACTGGGTGTGAGCAGTACCATCCCTTGGGCTGGGATCCCAGAACAAATGAATATGGAGAAAGCAAGCTGAATAATAAAATTAATCTCCCTCTGCTTCTTATCTGTGGGTAAAGTGTGACTATCTGTCCCATGCAACTACCATTATTACTTCCTGACTACAACAGACTTTACCCTCAAACTGTGGGAAAAAAAAACAAAAACAAAAAAAACCTTCATGCCTTAAATCATCTTATCAGCAACAAGAAAAGTGTATGTCACAGAAAATCAGTACCAAGGGTGCGATTGTTGCTGTGATGAACCTGACCATGTGGTTTGAAGGCCTTTCAAACTTTGTGAGAGGAACTCAGAAGAGTTTGGAGCTTTAAAAAAAAAAATCCCACCGGGCGTTGGTGGCACACACCTTTAATTCCAGCACTCGGGAGGCAGAGGCAGGCGGATCTCTGTGAGTTCGAGGCCAGCCTGGTCTCCAGAGCGAGTGCCAGGATAGGCTCCAAAGCTACACAGAGAAACCCTGTCTCGAAAAACCAAAAAAAAAAAAAAAAAGGGGGGGGGGAACAACTGTGTTAGGATGAGGTGCTTAATTTTAATTGGGCATGTTAATTAGGTGAACCAAAGGGGGCCTTTGATTGCTGGCCTTCAATACTTTCATAGCTGAACCTTAATAGTCAGCCTCAGGAGGAGGAAATGGCCAAATAAGGGAACAGACCTTGGTATCTAGCTTTAAGAATGTAATCTAATGTTTTTTGTTGTTTGTTTGTTTTGGTTTGTTTTTTTGTTTTTTGTTTTTTGTTTTTGCAAAGCAGAGGAAATGGGAGAAGGGGAAGGCCTGCCAGAGCCATGTGGCTGTGCTTCGGCTGGCTACAGTCCCTTCACAGGCTACATCTCGAGCTGATAGACCTGGGCAATGTCTATGCAGTGTTTGTTTTATAGACAAGAAAGATGTAAGTAAGAGGGTTATAGTTGCTTATATCAAGATTCCAGAAAGCCAATGGAACCAGACAATGTGCAGTGTGGTTAGATTCCCTGCAAGAAAGACCTGATAGACTTAAAGCCAGGAATATGAAGCCTAAGTTGCAATGGAATCCCAATGTCTTAGATCAGGTTTCTATTGCTGTGAAGAGACTCAAGGACCACAGCAACTCATATAAAGGAAAACATTTAATTGGGGTGGCTTTCAGTTCAAAAGTTCGGTCCATTATCATCATGGTGGGACATGGTGGTGCTCAGGCAGACATGGTGCTGGAGAAAAAGCTGATACATCTTGATCCACAGGCAACAGGAAGTGAACCGTACCAAACTAAGCATAGCTTGAGCATAGGAGTCTTCAAAGCCCAACCCCACAGTGACACATTTCCTCTAACAAGGCCAAATTTTCTCTAACAAAGTCATATTTCCTACTAAGTGCCACTCCATTTGGGGGCCATTTTTTTTCAAACCAGTACACTCAAGGAGCTGGAAATGTCAAGAACATAGGATGTCAGCAGAAAAACTCTGTAGGCCCTTAGTGGAGCTATAAGAAGAGAGATGCTATGCGTACTTGCAGAAAGCAGAACTGGAGGAGTTAAGATGACCATTGGAACCCAAATGATTCCATCAT